ACTTTCTACGAGTTACGAAGACAGCCCAGCTAATTGACAACCTTTTGTGGCTCCAAGTGTAGCTTTTTCTTAGGAAGGGCTGAAACTTGTGTTAGCAAGAAGCTAAGAGTGTTAACATGCCAGGAGGTAACACAAAGTTTAGTTCTTAATCTTCCAAATTACCCTTTTCAATCTTCTTACTGTCCCAGATAAATAATTAGCTTGTCAGGCTCGGTATTTATTTTGTTTTGAAACAAGTAAATTGGAGACAGAGTGTGTCTGGAACGTAAACAGCCTCCAGCTCGTTAGCTACCAAAGAATTCACCAAGCACGTCCGTCTTCACTTAATTCAGATTTGTTTTCAAAACTATGACAAACTTCATCAATACCACTGATATTTACTAAAAGCAAAAACCAAGAAATGATTTTTTTTTCAGTTATAAGTTTAATAATTAGTGTAGTAATGTGTGATGTTTTAGTAGTAAATGTTCCAGTATTTGTGCTTTAAAATAATCTTCATATATTTTTTCATTATATTATTATAGTGAAGCCAAGTTGTTTTTGTTCAGCTTCATCTAAATTCATTCACCCAGGTCATTTGTAACCTTGGTGTAAACACTTAGTGACTTGTTTACTAAGGAATATTCCCAACACACACCTGAGTGAGTCAAATGTGGGAGGTGTGTGTGTGTGTGTGTGTGTGTGTGTGTGTGTGTGTGTGTGTCTGCAAAAGACACCAGAAAAGTCAGTCCAGATGGCCGAAGGAGATTAAACACCATCTGCCAGAGAGCACTACGAACACACACACACACACACACACACACACACACACACACACACACACACACACACACACACACACGAAATGATTTACGGCTCCTGAATAATGACTTCTGTCAAGGAGAAATTTATGATTTATTTCTGTCCAACATTGGGGCTAATGGTCTTGTTTGGCAGCAAAATAAATAATTTAGTTTCCTTTTATAAGTCGTTGGGAAAAATGAGGCGATAGATACTTGAAAAAAAGATAGAAACTTTAGATTTTAAAGACTTTTGCACTTTATATTAAGACTCATAGCTTCTTTAGTACCAAAAAGATAAACTTTCAATTCTAACAAATATTTAGAATTTAAACTGGAAGACGTTTTAAATATCCAAAATAAATAAACAAAACAAAACAGAAACAGAAATATTAAATAAAATGAATTATTAAGTCTCTGTAATCACAACTGTCCTAGTTGAGATAAAAGAAGATTTTTATCATCCAGTTCTTGGTAGAAAGAGAAAAAAGGAGAAAATAGTGCAAATGGAAATTATTGTGCACATTTTAATTTATTATGCAATTAATTTATTTCTCGGTTACTCTGACATGCCTAAGTACAAATACAAACTCTGTTTTTATCTACTGATTTCTGCGTCTTCATTTGGAAAACTCTGGCTTGGTTTGTCTGATTCCTAAAGTAAGACTCTTTCCTGACTCAGAGCTGCTCCTCGTTTGAAAGCCAAGAAAGCAAATTAACGCAATTAAAGCTGCAGCGAATCAGAACCCACAACAAACAGAAAACCCGATTACAACGCCGTCGTTTGTTCTCGTGTGTGGTCAGAGTCGGCCTCAGAGAGTATGTGACCTCATCCTGATGAGACATGACACCATTTTAGCTGGAAACTCTCTCAAACACACACACACACACACACACACACACACACACACACACACACACACACGCAGGTTGCTGAGCTGAGGCAGATGGCAGCAGATGTTCGCCGGTCCCTCAGCGGGCCGCGATGCTCCTAATGCTGTCTGGAAAACATTTCTGGCTCTCTGAGGGATTCGCTGAGTGTTTGTGAGCGCTGCTGACTCAACGCTCGGCAGTATGTCAACTAAATGTGTTCTCCCAGTCACTCCAGACCCACTCCGATGAGTCGGAGGACTCCGCTGGGATGTGGGCGTTACTGTGTGCGCTCAGGGTTTTACTGCCAGGAAGCACTAAGGTACAGCCATGTGTGATGCTGCGCTCAAATCACTGCAACAAATGGACTAAAAATCACAAAAGTGACAACATTTCAGCCTCAGAGAGTCCCGGTGTTCAGGTTCAAAGAGTTTATTAAGATCTCCTTTATACTTCACAATTAATCAACAAAATGCTTTAGTTTGAACCTAAAAACTAATAGAAGTTATGTGCATTTAAATCAGAATAAATTAATGACTGATTTTAAGAAGAATCTAGTATTAGCATTAGCGTCCACTAATTACTGCATTGCTGTAGATCTTTGGTGTTAGCTCGCAGAAAGTACTGCGTTGGTGAAGCACTTTAGCATTAGCTTTCCCTATATACTGCGGTAGGCTAGCATTTAGCAATAAGTATATTGTTGTAACGTTTTAGCATTAGCTTTCCCTATATACTGCGTTAGGCTGGCACTTTACCAATAAATATCATGTTGTTGTAGTGTTTTAGCATTAGCTTCACTGCTTTGGTGTAGCATTTTAGCGTTAGCGGAGCAAATGTTTATGGCTAGTGCTATAGGGTTAGTGTAGCTAACTTTTGTTACTTTTAACCTGCTCATCCCTGTTAGCATCTTAGAGAAGCAAACGGATATAAAAAGCAGAATGATGACAAGATGGATCCAGGAATTCATGGCAAGCTACAGCTAATCATTGTCTTTAGAAGACTGAATTATTAAAACTGCTGCATGAAACCTAGTTTATTTTTGGACTTGCAGACAAACATTATCAGAGCGAATATGCAGATGAGGGTCCAAATGTTGCCTCCTGACCTCAGGCAGCTACTTATGATTAACAGAAAAATTAACTCTGAAGGACCTCAGCAGGATGAGAGAGCAGGCTGACACTTTGAGCGTCTATAAAGCTGCAGAGTAAAGAGCTTCTGCATCGTGACACAGAAACAAAACCGCCTCATTACCTCCATGTAACCAACTCTGAGTAAAACCAGTGGAACAGTATAAATCAGTCATTAACAGCTCTGTGATGTATTCACCCTCACACACCCAGCGATCCGATCCGGCGCTGGGAACGCCGTCCAGCTGAAGCAGCAGAACCTCGGCTCTGATCTATAAGCCATCTCTCCTCTGCATTTAAAAATCGATGCGTGGCGTCTGATCTGGCAGACCGGCCGGCGAACATCAAGCGGCCTCCGCTTTTATCAAAGTATAAAACATCCTGGATTATCCACCAAACGGGGCGGTTGGTGGATAATCCCTAACCCTAACATTAGCTGCAGAACGTCCACGAGACGCAGGAAAATCTGAAAATTATGCTAAAACACAACAATGAGCAGCAAAGACTGAAAACCCAAAACAATTTCTGCTCAGTCAATCCAGCAACATTTCAAGACGAAATTACCTGAAAAATCAGACAGACGCAGCAAATATGATCAATATCTGTAGAAATATGATCGGACATTTATCTGCAGGTTTCAGTAAGTCACATTTAATATTTTAAGACATTTTCAAAGCCAACTTGAATAAACGGTAAGACAGAAAAAAATATAAAAACAGAGAATTATTGAGTTGGCAACAGAAGTGAAACAAACAGCTGGTGTAACAAATTATAGACGCAAAAATAGCTAGCTAGCTAGCATTAGTTTTAACCATCTCAAGACACAGAATGCAATGAAGATGCTACTGAAAGTTTTCCCCCACTGAATAGACTGAAAATCTGATATTTTAATAAATCTGTTTCTGCTTTCTTTGTAATTTTGTAGTGAACAGAACCACATAAACATTTCTGATTAAACTGAGCTAAAACAGGAAGAGCTGACTCAAACAAAAAAACAAACCTTTAATAAAGTGTTTAATTATGAATTTATCTTTTAATAAAACAACCAGGTGAAACTCTTAATGTTCTGACCAACAATTATTCACAAATTAATCTCCAAAAAACCTTATTTCATTAAAATCTTGAATGTTTAATTTACTATTTAAAAAGAGATTATATTTAAAAATTTTGTTTTTAGATTTGTGCTTTTATCTTTATTTATTTTGGTTAAACCAGGTGAATTTAACCCAGATGAGAAAAACCACAGATTGTAAACGTTTTGATACATTTCTCACGTTCTGTCTGATTGAAACCACGACTTTCAGTCATTTTACGTAACAAACAAAGTAAAGCAGAACTGAGAAGAGGAAGCAGAACGATGTTCTTACTAGTGAAAATCTTAAAAGTGTGGCGTACTTTGTAATCAAAGTACGCCACACTACTTTTTGCACATATTCAGCAAAAAGTCTGAATATGTGCATTGAACAGTGATTTTACTAAATCATTACTTAGTAAAATCACTGTTCAATGCACATATTCAGACTTTTTGCTTGTTTTTCTTCAAGTTCAGTCAGACTGGATGAAAAACATCTGCTTTCACATTTTGTTTAGGTCTACACTTTGACTAGACCAAACTGTCCAAACTTTTTGCAAATTTAAAACTACTTTTGGACCACAAAATACATTACATTAAAAAATGTTAGATTTTTTTTTCCACATTTTTATGAAATCTGTACATCATTAAACATCCAGAACATAAAAAAACCCACTTTTGATTGTTGCTTTACTAAAAGAAAAACAAATAATTTCCACATTTTGAGGGTCATCAACTGTTTTCCATTTTATTGACCAAATAAAGTAGATTTTTTTGGTCATCTGTGATTCCCTGCAGTAAAAGCTCCGAACCAGCAGAAAGAAAGCAGAATGATTAATGCCTAATCCGAAATAACTCCTGGAACGTGACGAGGGTTGGCGGGAGGATTTATTCCCTCCCAGGATGACTCACAGGTTTGAAAATGAGCCACACTGTGTTTCACTTTCATCCCAGCAATTATCCAACAGCAGGAGTGGGCGCAGAGTTTCTCAAACCGCGGATAAATCATCACAGATCATAACTCCGCTCCGCGGGAAAGCGATCCCGACTAGAGTCAGGAAGGTGTCGTCGTTAATAGAAGCTAACAGGCGAAGCTAACAGCCGAGGCTAACGGGCTAAGCTAACCGGGACCGGGACGAGAGCAGGACTTACGGTGCAGGCCGGCATCGAGTCGTCGTCCCCCGCTGCGTCTTCCGGGTCGTGGTGCGCCTCCTGCAACACACAGAGGTCACACCTGAGTTACCGTGGCAACGGGACGATTAGCGACGCCGTGACGTTGGGTCCTCCCAGGAGGACGACACGTCACGGCGTCACGTTTCCACAAGGAAAACAGAAAACATCACTGAACTACAGAAATACATGAAATGATTCATGTTTACCTCTAAAATATCCTGATATAAAAAGGTTCAAAAGTTAATGGAATAAAACAGGGTACTTATGTTTCCTATATATTATATATATATATATATATATATATATATATATATATATATATATAAAATATTAATATCACATATTAATATTATATATATTAATATATAATATTTAAATCAATATTGTATATTAACAATAAATTAAATAAATTAAAACACAAAAAAATTATACAGTTAAATACTTTATCGAAATAATTATATGCATTTTATATTAATAAATATTTTAGATCTGGATCTGTTTTCTAAACTGTATTTGTTGTAAATTTATACCATTTAAATAAACTTAACTGACCTAAAGATGTTAAGAAATATTTTTTAAACTAGTATATTTAAAGTAATTTTACATGTCTGCCTCAGCTCTATTTTCATTATAATATAAAATTAACTGATTTTATTTATTTATTCAACAGAAAATGTAATCCAAAATACCCAGTTTACTGTATTTTGTTTAAATGTTTTCAGCATCATTACTTTCACCACCACCACCATGATGTTACGTCAGATTTGAATTAATTCCATCAGGCAGATCATCGGCCGCCCTGCTGCAGCAGCAGCTGGGATCCAGATACCGATAGCCCTGCCGCCACCGCCTGATTAAAACAATAATGGCAATAAAAGCTTTTATTTACTGGGATTATATTCTGCAGCAGCTGAACAGAAAAGCTGCAGGCGGAGAGAGAAACGGATCAGAACCAGAGGAGAATCGGCGCTGACGCTGCAGAAAGACGGTTTATTCATCTGGAAGGAAAACTTTTTAAATTTAATGTTGGAATCAGAAAAACATCTCAGGATTCATCTGAAGGGCTCATCTATTTCTAATTTCTACAAGTTTGCAGGATTTATTCTTTTAACTTTTAGCATTTAAACTTTTAGTTTTCTTTTAAAACAAACAGTAAAGGTTAAATATTTCACTACCTTCATCAGTTCAAGATACTTTCTTTAAAATATTTAGATTCTGTCCAAAGTCGAGAACTTTTTCCAAAGTTTTTTCTCAATCCTTTCGTTCATTTTGTGACGTTTTTCTGATCATTTGATTCACAATTTTAGTTTATCTTAAATTTAAATCAATTTAACAGAAAAAATGTAAGAAGTTTATTTGAGTTGAAATCTGCTTCAGCTAAAAAATAATAATATTGGATCTAGAAGTTGCTAATTTACTAAGAAAAACCTTCCGATAAATTAAATTCAGATATATGTCATTGGTCCCAAAGGTAATTTAAATGTTGTGACTCATATTATTTAAAATTATTAAAAGATTAATATAAAACCAGACAATTCAACCAGGAGCCCACAGCATCACTGCTTTTAATCAGATAAATCAACTTCATCTAAACCACAAATTCAACCAATCAAGTTACTTTAAAAGTGTTTTTATGAGTTCAGTATGAAGAAATAAACCTAAAATCATGAGTAAATTTATGAGGAAACATACCAAAAACCACACAGGAAAGTTGTGAAAATGCTGCAGAGGGAAAAACAAGAAGTGTTCGAGTGAATAAACGTCTATTATTTCTAACAGAAAACGGCACATCAGGTTTTTCAGGCTGGGTTTTCTTACAGCAACAGAAAACATTCTGCAGCTCTAACCCCGCAGAAAATTAAGGTATTACAAGATAAACTCAATAAAAACAGTATTTTTATTGGATTATTGAGATTTATGAAGGAGCAGCAACTTGGAACGCTGCTGGTTCATCAGACAGAAAATGTTTTAAAGTATTTAATAAATAACTAGAGAACATGGAGATAAGGGCAGCTGAGCGGTTCATGCTAACTCCATCGTTAGCATGAAGGATGTCAGTGAGAACTAAAGATCTGACCTTTCAGCTCAGAGCTGTTAGCTGCTGATGTCATCATGATGCAGCATGTTGGCGCTGCTCCGTTAGCTCTGATTGGCTCGACTCTTATTGATCATTCATTGGTTGAATCTTTGCTGTTTGGACAATTATCTCCTCGGCTGGAAGGGATTTTCTTACATTATTATTTTTATTTTGCTTTGGGTCAATTTTTATGATTGGTAACCGCAGTAACACTGTTTTTACAACTGGAAGCAGCTGATTAGCATCTCAATAAGACCTGAACTTTGACCCCCAATCACAGGGGATTTGAAAAAGAAGCTTCATGGATGCAGAACAGAGAGAGAGATCCCCTACTCCAACATCCCTCTGATCAAACACCCAGAGAGAGATTTAAATAGGAGCAGCAAAAACAAACGAGGTGGGTTAGCAGAGCTAGCTAACAGCTCCTGTTGCTGTAGAATATCATCTCTGCCTCCTTAAAATCAAACTGTTAGCATGTCATGATGTTCCAGTAACCTTGGAGCTGAGAATGACGTAACACCTGAGTTAGCGGCTCGGTTAGCGTAATCGGAGAGGTTGTTCTTCCAACATGGCAACGCTCAAGTAGCCGTTCTTTGTAATACCTCTTTCAAATGTTATACTTTTCACTTTTAATTTGTTCAGTTCAACGTTACATGCAGCATTAATTTGAGACACAGTCTAACAGCTTACAGTTGTTGCTGTTAGAGGAGCAGCCATGTTGGATCTCCAAGTCTACGTTTGAAAAATGTTCAAATTTTCTGACACAAAAGTAAAAATTTCCAAGTTCTGATTACAAATGGAAGGCAGCATTAAAAAGAAATGGCAAAAGCAAATGAGGTGGATTAGCAGAGCTAGCTAACCACTCATGATGTCATCCAGGACATGTTACTGTGGAATACCATCTGCTGCCTGGATGTTGAGCTGTTAGCATGTCGTTACAGTCATACAGCAGCAGCCTTCAATCAGAAGCATCTTCAGGTTTGTTGGAAGACTGACTGCTACAGCATCACCACCCAATCTTTGAAAATACTTTCACGATATGAATTACATTTAATTTCCTTTGGGAGAAATAAAGTATTTGTGAATTAAACTGAATTTAATCTAGAATGGAGGACACGATCAGAAGCTGATCAACGGCGCCATGATGGATTTATTTCTTCTTCTTTTGTTTGAAACGGTGAGGCAGGTTTGGCGTCTCGTTGCATCAGAAGTCGACCGGGTCGGATCAGGTCAATGAATCGATAAAATATGCAGGAGTTTCCTCAGCAGAACAAAGAAGCAGCTCAAGGTGAAGCATGTTGTTCAACCTGAACCTCACCTGATGGGAATGCGGCCTTAAAGGGAAAGGGAATGCGGCCTTAAAGGGAAAAGGAACGCGGCCTTATAGGGAAAGTTTACCCAAAACACTCAGCAGAGGAATGTCAGGAATCCTGCTTTATGTTTGTGCAGCACCTGAATCCTCTCACCAGACGACGGTTCATGTTTTCACCAAAACTACAGGACCAAATGAAAACACACCTGATCTCAGCTCTCACTGTGGAGCCGATGACTTAAATTAAATAATGTTTTAATTTGACTTTTTTTCTAACCATTTTACCCCCTCTTTGAATTTTTTGTTGTTATTGGATCAGAGTTTTTATATTATTTGTTACTTTTTGAAGGACTGGGTTTTTTATTTGGTTATTATAATATTTTATCTTTATTTCTGAATGTCTTTAAGAATTTGACTAAAATTTTATGTGAATAAAATTTTCCTTTATTACAATTTTATTTTCATGATTTTTATTATTTTAATCCAATATTCCTCATTTGTATATTTTTAGTCATTTTTTCTATTGTGCTGAGATAAATTTTATTAATATTTTAATGTGATTTCTTTGGATTCTTTCTTAATTTAATTTTTAATTATTATATATTTCTACTGCATTTTTACATGTTTTTTTATTAAACATCTTTTTTTATGATTAACTTGTAATATTTTTATTGTGTCACTTTTATTTTGAGTTATTTTCATTTTTTATTATTTTTCATATTTCTTTTACTTTTATTTCTTTTTTATTGTTTCTCTTGTTAACTGCAAAGTAAAACTCTGATCAGGAAGTTTCTGAATTTGTCTTCGATTGTTTCTGGTGAGTTTCTGCGGTAAATAAACTCTGATCTGCAGAACGGAGCTGCAGTCGTTTTCATTTCCACATCTCAGCAGAAAACTGAAGCCTCTCTCTGATCTGCTCACAGAACCAGGTCTGCAACACGCTCTGCATTTCTGTCTTGTGGTCTGGAAGAAGTTGATCTAAAAGTTGCTGCGCTGCGCCGCAGAGGAAGGAGCAACCAGGGGTCAAAGGTCGGTTTTTCAGCGCGTTCCTGTGCGGCGGCGGCGCAGGTTCAGGCCTGTCAGCAGCAGCCTGAGTGACTCAGAGCTTCTGAGCCGTTTGTGAATCTTTCTTTTTACCATTTCTCCACGCCTCCCATGTGACGCCTCGCGCAGGAAACAGACACTCTCACTCTTCCTGAGTCATGGCGTCGCAGCGGCTCCGCCTCCCGATGTTTATCAAGACTCGATAGGAGGAAGGAGAGGAAGAGCAAAACATTTCGACACTGACGGAGATCTTGCACTTCACAAAACAAACCTGAGCTTCATATTTCAAAATGAATTAATCCAAAATATCTCAAACTTCTACCAATAAAAGTCATTCCAGTGGCGTCACAGAGGCCGGTACCAGGATGCAACCAAGGTCCATTTCCACAAAAACAATCCAAACATAGAAATGCACCAATCTAAAAATTTGGGCCGATATTGTTGTCATTTGTTACAAACATTTCTGCTGTAGTTGGACAAACATCACATGACTAATTCCATCTTCCTCTCCCAGAAACTGAAACAAGAACAAAATAAATATTGGTTATAAATATCGGCCCAGTTATATTTATCGGACCGGTACCAGTATGTTAATATTGACTATTGCTGCACCGCAACATCAAAAAGAATTATGCCAGGACTTAAACGGCTTCATTCTGATTAATTAATGGCATTTAAAGACGTAATTAATTGCTGTTTTTCTTGTTGTTTTTTAAACAAACAACAGTTCCAGTTTATAGACGATGGAGGTTCTGGAAGGTTCTATGGTCCGGGTTAATCCAGCTCCTGTTTCCCACTGTAATCCCTCCTCTGGGTGGATTTATCAGATTTCCAGATTCCTCCAGAATCCTTCGATGATCTCAAAGTTCTAATAGAGAAACGTATAAAAACCTTTCAGACAAACACTTTAAATATTTTAGGAGTTTCCTGAAGCCTCCGAGTCGCTTACGGCCAAAATCTGATCAGAATAAATCCCAGCTTTATCCATGTTTCATTTTGATCCATATTCCTGTTTTTTAGTGGTCCAGTTCCTGGGCTTTAATCAAAGCAGCAGCAGGAGAATCCTGGGATGGAGAGACAGTCCCAGTACCGGGTCCCAGTAAGGAATCCATCCAGAACCAGTTCTCCCATTCTGCAGGTAAATCACTCCGACCCACTGGGTTTCCTCTAAAACACAGAAACAGACGATTCTCTCTTCCAACCCACTGAAGATCAAATGGACTCTTGTTAGCGATGATCTGATTGCAATTTTCTGACCTGATGATTCTGATTTTATCTAATTTGTTTGTCTGAAAAGTCGCCAAATTTATTGACTGATGTCAGTAAATCTGTCCTCAGCTCTCTCACAGCGGAGGAAAGGAGACAGTGGCTGATTTTCAGACGTTTGCAGAGTTAGAGAAGATGTGAGTGTCAGCCAATTGCTGATCCACCAAAACTGAGAAAATCGGGCCGATTTATCAACACGCCTGCACTTTTTAGTGCCTTTTTAAATCACGATAAGAGTTGTTGTCTTAACAAGTAATCCGTTTTTTCTGATTGAATAAAGGCAAAGAAAAGTAAAAATGTATATTTAACAAGACTGGCATCAGTAATGTTTAGGATTCATTCCCACCAGCTCTGCTCAGTCCGCTTTAACCCGACTCCAGTCCGTTCGTTCAGAAAGTCCGGTTCAGTTGGTGAGGTGTGAATGCTAATCAAACTCTGGTCCCCCACTAACCTCAGTTTCAGTTCTGTTAAAGTGAAATCTGGTTCAGTTCAAATGCAAATGCAAGAAGTGGACTACAGCACAGTGAATTCTGGGTAAATACAACCAAAACAAACACACTAGCGTAGCACTACCAAACAAATTTATGTCGCTAAAATCTGATGCCACTCCATTTTTGTTTACATTTTCTGAAACGGAAAGTTCCGGTCAGTGTCGTCTTGACAGGTTTTTATGTCTCAGAAGACATGAGACATGAGACACTGCACCAAGAACCTACAGTGGTTCTTGGTGCAGTGCCCCCACAGGGCAGGAGGGGAACAGGATTTTCAAAGGGTTTTGTTGGTTTCACTCAGAGCAGTGAGAAAAATGTAACAAATGCTGCAATTTTGGTTCCCAATCGAGCTGGCGGGAGAAACGGCTGGTGGTTTTTAACCAAAGACAAAGGAGAAATCCTCCAAAAGCTAAAATCTGACGCTTCCATTTTTATTTACATTTAGTGAAACAGGAACTTGTGCTCGGTCTATTCTAGGAGAGAAATCAGCCATTTATGCCTTCAAACTGACTTTTGTCCCAGTTTTCACTTTAAATGTGAGGTAAAACATGAACTTCTCTGAACTTGTAGTTTTCAGGAGTCGGTTTTCCTCCCACGCTGCTGGAAAACCCCTTGCATTTTAATATGCATCACAAAGTGCAGCTCAATCCAGATCAGACGGCTGGAAGCGGCTCGTTATGCAAAAATCTTCCCCGCAGACGAGAACAGGACCAATAAAACACGGTTTTGTTCAGAAACTAAACGGGTCACAGAGCGATGAGCTCCAGTTTTTACACAACTACAGGTGAAATCTGTTCATTAATCTCTAGATGGGACAACAAAAGGCTTCAGAATATTTTAGATATTTTGGTTTCAGCATCAGCTTATCCTCCATCTTTGCAGATATGACTTCCAGTTTTGTCACAGTGACAGACAGTAGTGATGCTGTGGGCTCCAGCCTCCCCCTGCAGCAAGATGTTGTTGCATTTTCAGAGCAATAGGTGCATTAATTGATCCGGACAAATAGATTCTGGTCGTCTGCAAACGCTCCTTCAGCTAAAATTCATCTGGAAGTTAAAGTTGGACCGGCTGTCGGGTTCCTGCAGGAGAGTGGAGCTGCTCTGAGGTGTCCTGTTTCCTGTAGCATCCGCTCCTCTGAGTTCATACTGATCGCTCAAAGTGCTCTGTAATCTCATTTTTCCCTCCTGCGAATCATTTCACGCATTTAAATCGCATTTCTGCAGCTTCGTCAGAATTCTTTCACATTTCCACCCTTTGGGTGCCAGATTTGTCAAAAATGTGCAGAAAATGACAGCCAACTGTCTGTTTTAAGGGATGAAATTGATTTTAAAGGAAGCAGGTTGGCATTCAGGAAAGTTTTTGGGTATAATATGATTAACGCAACATTTTCTTCCAGGTTTCCCTTTAGATTTGCATCCCCGTCGGCAGAGGAGGTTCCAGTTGCAGCCGCTGCTGGACTTCATGTCACATTTTTCTCTCTCTACAAGTTCAAGCTTGCTTCAGCAAATATTTAACCCATCTGTTGGCTCAGGAAGCAAACCGCTGACAACTCTTAGTATTTGCATCCCATGCGATAAAACAATAATAAATACAGCGAATGAAACGGTCCTCTTATAGCGGTAATTTAATTTAAATAAATCATTATTGGTGTTTTTATGCACACAGAGTTTTTTAAAGGATCTGCACTCTGAGTAAAAGTATTTTAAGTTTTTAGCATCTTTATGCATTTTTGTTTTTCACTAAAACTGAGCTTTTGATTAGGTTTGTCACATTAAACAATAAATTAATTTCATTTGCATGATTTACAGTTTCTCTCTTTTTCTACCAAAAGCAGGATGATAAAGATGTTCAGTTTGGTGTTTTGGTCTCAACTAAACCTTTATAAGGATAATTTTGTTTACAGAGACTTCATAATGAAATTTATTTGTTTCTGTTGTTTTATTTAGTTTTGATATTTAAGATGTCTTCCAGTTCCATTAGAATTTAAAGTTCACTGATCTTTTAGAAAGTTTTGTTGCATTATTAAGCTATTACTACTATATTACATGAAAATGGACTCAAAACAACAATATTATCGTTTATCGCAGTAACTTATGGGACAATTTATCTTCCATTATGATTTGTTATTATGACAGGCCTATGTTTGGGGACATATTTCTGTGGATTAAACAGTTCATCCTCATTTAAACCTTCTTATTATGAAAGTTACCTTTAATATTTCTGTTTCAGCTTTCAGGTAAGTTATTTAAAGTTTTTCATCCTGCAGGCTGAAAGCTGCAAACAGTCATTTACTGTTCATTTAAATGTTTTTTTGTTTTGCTTGTTTTTGTTTACATCCTTAAGTTTCATAAGGATGTAAACTTTCATAAGTTTGGAGCAGTTTTATCGGCAGGTTTTTATCGTTCCTGCTCATCTTACTGTCACATCGCTCTGGTTAAACATGTTGCAGCTTGTTTTGGACATGAAGCTCAGCTTTAACTCTAAGTAAACTCCAGCTTCTTTTAGAGCCAGGAAAACTGTTTTTAGGGTGTAAAAGTGATTCATCCTGCAGGCATTTAGCGTTTTGAAGATGTTTTTCGTGTTTCTGGAGGAGGTTCTGCACCTACTTCCAGGTAGTTGGAGGTTCTGGTTCTGGTCCAGCCCCTGCGCTGCAACATGAGGACAAACGGAGCCGCTCACCTCTCCAGCCGTCCCCCCCACCGGCATCTTCTGCCAGGGATCCGCCAGCTGAGCCAGAGGCATCTTCTTCTTCTCCTGGGGCTCCCGCTCCTCCTCCTCCTCTTCTTCTTCGGTTTAATTCCCGCTGCTCTCCGTAGCCTCTTTAAACTCCGGCCGTCTTCTCTCTCTTTCTGCTTCTTCTCTTCCTGGTAAAATGTTGCGAGCCTCTCTCCCTCACTTTCTCTCGGTCTGTGGTCCCGTTTCTGAGTCGGCGGGACGCGAACCGAGCCGAGCCGAGCGAGCAGGGGCTAATTCCGGCTATGGTGTGGCGCAGAGACCGCCCCTTCCTCCTCCGGGGAGACAAACATGAAGGGAGGACGCCCTTTTCTCGGAAACTGCTCCACCTCTACAATCTCTCTCTCTCTCTCTCTCTCTCTCTCTCTCTCTCTTGCTTCCGTTCTTTCCCAATATGGCGGCCGGTGTCAGCTTACCTGTCCGTCAGGCGGCTGACGTCACCGTGCGTCACGTCGGGAGGCGGCACCTGAGAGAGCTAAACTTCAGGATGAGTCAGTCACTGACCACACTGGAAAAACTACACAGAGGCAAGTTTACTCACATTTCTGAATCACAGCCTCCAGAAATACAAAAACAGAAAACTGCTCCTAAAGCTGGAATTACTCTGAACTGTCAAAATGGCAAAGAATAATAAAAAAAATAATAATCCTTATAAAGACTGTTTTTCTTACTGCTCTTTGTGTGTGTGTGTGTGTGTGTGTGTGTGTGTGTGTGTGTTGTAATTGATTATTCTGTGTTCTGGTAACCTGATGTGTTTGCAGTACTGAAGTGTGAATGAAGCATGTAATGTACAAAGTGGCAAAGCAGAATAATAAAATACATTAAGTAACTAAAAAGTTACTTAATTAGCAATTATAATAAACCAAAAGTGTAATTGTAGCGTACTGTAATCACACTACTAATATATAACATATGTAATGCTAATATACTGAAAATACATTAAAGATATATTTTAAATGTAATTCAATCACAAAAATAGTACAATCAAAATATACGGAGAGCATGTTTATATTACATAAAATGCAATACTAAGTTTAACTTTAGTTGTTCCAAAAAAGTATGTGAAAGTACAATTAGTGCACTTTAAATTGTACCTTAATACAATTTACATGCTTAGTATATTTATTTTTCACCAGGGAAGTTGAAACAATAAAGATTAAAATCATGAAAACTCTCCCCACTGAGGCCTGTTGGGAGATTATGATCTCGATGTTGTTGAGGGACACGTTTGTTGTGCCGTAGAGGCTCATGGGAACTGTAGTTTAACTCTTCTGACTATGGAAATACTGAAGGTTTTTAAACTTTCGCTTTGTTTTCTTTCAGTCTGTAAAATCTATCTGAGATTTCAGATTAAATATTTATTCACACGAATCAAACTTTGATTCTAGACGCTTCCGGTTAGTCATGAAAACTCACAAGTCACGTGACTTTGAAATAGAAACTGAAACTAACTTTGTTCTCCTTCAGCTCAGACTCCATTTTGAGGAAAACCTTGTCGTCTTGTTAATAGAGGTAAGTGTTGCAGCTCCATGTTCCTCCGTGTCTCTTTCGGGTCTCTGGAGCTTTTTCTACTTTTCTATCGGATAAAAGTTCCGCCCACAGCGGCTTGTCGGGGCTCCACGGCTCTATCGGCCGTTTCTCATCGGGTTCCTTAGCAGTTGGGCTTCATTTTACTGAATCTAAGGGCGGATCAAGGAAGTGTTTAGATACACAAAATACATTTATTTCAATGTAAGACTTTATTGTGAAACGTTGCTGCTTATAAATTGCTGTTATATGAGGCTACAGATGAATTTATGTTTCACGAGAGAAATATTTCACCAAGTGGGCAGAACTTAGTTAACCTAGAAAAACTGCGGGATCCGCCATGACAGTAGGTAATCTGTTTGTGTGCAATAATGAACTTTAAAAATATAAACTAAGGAATTAATTCATCTTTTTAAGAGCAGAACTTTACGAAAAACGTATTAAAGTTATAAACTACGAAAGGAGTATTAGGATAGTACTAATAAAAAAAGAAAATAAAGTCATAATATTACACGAATAAACTCATGTGATAATATTCTAGAATAAAGTTGCAATATTATAACTTAATTCTTGCAATTTTGAGACTTTATCCTTTTGTTATTTTTTTTATTTCCTTCGTGTGTCCATAAAGCTCCTTCCTGTTAAACTGCTTTTCCTGAGTATTTAAATCCTAAAATGTGACACATCTCTCCTTCCTCTGCAGTCTGGGGTTCATCAGAAACTGAAGTTTCTCTGATCTGTGGAGTCAAAGCAGATTTAAACTCAACAGATTTCCCTCTTCCTCCTCTCTGAGTTGTTTCTTTTCCAGTTGGACTTCTTGTTTCTCCTGGCAGCAGTGAGAAACTCTTTGTCTCTCTAAGCTGAAACCTGAACAGATCTGCTGGAAGCTGAGAGATCAGATCCTCCTCATGATCTCCATGGATCACCTGATCCTGAATCTCTCTGATTGTTGGTCCGTCTGGAAAATATTCCTTCCACATATTCCTGCCTCTCTGACTGAACCGACTCTCAGCAGGAGGACTGGCAGCCCGTCTAAAGGAGGTCTGGACCCCAAAGGTTTCAGAACCGCTGCTTTAACTGAGCCCATCTGTTCAGGACCAAAACATCACCACTTCATAGTAAATGTTCACTCCTTCATTCACTACATCTGACCTCACTCTGGATGTTTCTGCAGACCTGGAGCATGATTCCAGTTCAGGTTTCAGGTTTTAAATGTTGTTAATAAAGTCAGAAGTTCTCCAGGAGGTTCTGGATCAGCCAGCAGACATCAGAAGGTCCTGAAGAAGTGAATGAGAACAATTCAAACCCAGATGGTTCCTGCTGGATCAGGTTCCTCTGATCCTCTGAACACATGATGGGATCAACTTCCTGCTGACTGGATCACTGGGAACTGACTGGTTCTGGTTTCTCTTTCAGACTCGCTGAGATCCAGAAGATGGGAAACTCAAATCAAAAGCAGGACAGAGCAGAACCTGCAGGATCCGTCTGTCCCTCTATGAGGAGTGACCGGTCCAAAGATCACAATCCAGACTTCAGTACTGAACCAGAACCATCAGAGTAAGAAACCAGTTTCTAACTGCTTCATGTGAATCCACACAGATTTATTTAATATTAACTTGTTTATCTTCAGCAAATAAATAAAAAAACTTAATTTTTCTGCCAACTTAAAGCTGAGTAGACATGAGGAATGTCAGCCAATCAGAGGAGTTTTAATGAGGCTTCAGTGAGTCAGAGATGGATGGAAACGATCCATGGAAACAGAAACAACCAGAACTTTAGAGAGATTAACCCACTGAGAGAGGAAACTTCTTTACTGGGACCAGTCTATATACTGGGAACACTGGGACCAGTTTATATACTGGGAACACTGGGACCAGTCTATATACTGGGAACACTGGGCCCAGTTTATATACTGGGAACACTGGGACCAGGGATAGGGTTAACGCACACACACACACACACACACACAATAAAGAAAACAAAAACAAAGGGATGTGAAAACCTCACTAGGATGTAAATAATACTTTTCCTCAGTTTTTGTCTCATAAAGATGTAACTCATCGGTCTGAATGCATCTATGGGGTCATTTCATTCTGACTAAAAATAAAACATGTTGGATCAGCAGATTAACTCAAACCTGCTGATTAAAATGAATCAACAGGTTTGATTATTTTTAAGGTGATCAGGTGTGTCTGCAATCACACGTATCAGTAGCTGATCAAGGTGAGCAGCTACCTGAGGAGCTTTGGCTCTGATGGAGATTCAGAGGGAGGATTGATCAGAGATCAGATTGATCTGATGGTTTATTAGTGTTTAGATTAATACAGACTGATCATCACGTGGTGGCAGACTTCTGGGTATTTATACTAATTTATATTAATATGTATTCATGGAGGCGACAGGCCAACCAGCAGCTGCTCTACTTCCCGCCAATTAGGATTTATAAAGGAAAGGTGCGCAGGTTTTATGCATTTGATTTTTTGTGCGCCGCACTTTTCTAAATTTTTCTGTACTCCAAGTTTTAGTGTCAAAACTGCGCAGTCTTTTATGCATGAGGCCCCTGATCTTCTTCATGTTTTTATCTCAGAGTTTCTCAGTAATTGATCTGAATAACATTTTGTGTTTCAGAGATCGGAACCTCAGACGGAGAGCAGAACCTGCAGGATCCGTCTGTCCCTCTATGAGGAGTGACCGGTCCAAGCCAATTCCTCCAGACTTCAGTACTGAACCAGAACCATCAGAGTAAGAAGCCAGTTTCTATCCGATTCCTGTGACTCTGCAGAGACCAACCAGGATTTAAACTTTGATTTCAGCTTAGAAACTGGTTCATGGAGACCAAAACATCATTTTAAATCATTTTAGTTCTTGTTTCAGTTGTGATCTTAGAGAGAACAGAACAAACTGGAGGAAAAACTAAATAGTTTCCTTTGTGTCTTTATGAATCTCCAGCAGCTTCCATGTTCCACTGAGGTCTGGGGCCTCATGTATAAAAGAGAGAGCAGTTTTCACTCCGACACGGACAAATTTAGAATAGTGCAGCACACAAAAAATATGGATGTATAAAACCGTACAAACCTGCTGACCTTTCTTTATAAATTAATTTATAGGAAATAAAGCAGCTGCTGGTCAGCCTGTCGCCTCCATGAATACATATTAATGTTAATTAGTATAAATACATATTAATGTAAATTGGCATAAATACATATTAATGTTAATTAGTATAAATACATATTAATGTAAATTGGCATAAATACATATTAATGTTAATTAGCATAAATACCAAATAGTCTGCCACCATGTGAAGCCGTAACCATGGCAACGTCCTTGTTTGTAGCAGTATTAGTATTTATAATAATAGTTATTATATATTTTATTTAAAATGTGCTTTCAGGGCACATGAGGTCACTTTACAAAAAAGAATAAATTTTAAATAAAATATATTATTATTATTATAAATACTAATACTGCTACAAACAAGGACGTTGCCATGGTTACTGCTTCATATGCCGGCAGACGTCTGGGTATTTATACTAATTAACATTAATATGTATTCATGGAGGCGACAGGCTGACCAGCAGCTGCTTTATTTCCTATAAATTGATTTATAAAGAAAGGTCAGCAGGTTTGTACGGTTTTATACATCCATATTTTTTGTGTGCTGCACTTTTCTAAATTTGTCCGTGTTGGAGTGAAAACTGCTCTCTCTTTTCTACATGAGGCCCCAGACCTCAGTGGAACATGGAAGCTGCTGGAGATTCATAAAGACACAAAGGAAAC